TTTTAAGAGGAGGTTGGATGACCACCTTACTGGGGTCATTTGACCCCAGTGCTCTTCCTGCCATGGCAGGGGGTCGGACTAGATGATCTGCTCAGGTCCCTTCCGACCCTAGAAACTATGAAACTATAATTCTGAAAGTAGTGTATGTTCATTGATAGGATTTACCTTTACGCTTTCTGTGAACTAACAGAATGTGTTCATCATCTTAACATGATGCTCTATGCAGAGAATTTTTTTTTTCAGAAAGTATGGCTTATTAGTTAAGTATGTATAGATATAGTGACATCACCAGTTATTTTCATGTTGGGTGGTGAGAGAAGCTGGGCAAGGCAACAATTCAGATGTCTTACAGATATTGTACTGCTCTAATTTCAGACAAGTCCTCCTCCAACTACAACCCAGTCACCAGAAAGCACCATGGATACCTCACTGAAGAAAGAGAAGTCAGCCATTTTGGACCTTTATATACCTCCCCCACCAACTGTTCCATATTCTCCTCGGTATGTGAATACCCATGTACTACTAAACAAAAGGTGTTTTTTAACAGATTTTTCTAAGCTGGCCTGCTTGCAAACTCTGCAGATTAGCTTGAGGAAAACGTAGATTTTCCTTGGATGGCTTAAATGCGTAAGCTACTTAAAAAATACAGTACTTTTTATTGTTTGGAGAAACAGTCGTGTACAGTTTTAGAAAATCACTGGGCCGCATAAATCAGAATGGCCAAAAGCACATTAGGGAATGCTATGACTTGTAAAACCATAGTGCCTACTAAAAACTGCACTTATCTTTACATAATTTTTTCTAGTCTTTGATTCTTAAGCATGTTATCAAACTGCTTAGAAGAATTTTAGGAAAGAGCAGAACCTGTATTACATTCAACAGACATGAGAATCATAAAATCCAGGAATACGCAAGATAGCATAAGGGCAGGTCACTTGGAAGACTATTTTTTTCTGTGTGAAGAAATCCATTATAAAACCTAGACTGAATCACACGAGAGAAAGTGATTGAGGTCTTGCTAGTTTTGAGTGGTTCCCAGATAACCCACTATCTTCCCTGCCTCATTCTTCTATGGTAGCACTCTTGAGCAGCTGTTGGAGGCTCAGCACTACTGGAAATTGGATCACTTGGTTATTTATATACTTATATATCTAGTAGCTTAGTGTAGATGCCTGATTTTTTAAATGATCTGATATTTGCAAATTTAAATGCGTCTGTGTGCCTGCAAACTTGAATGGCTGTTTGTGGACTGGGGTACAGTGTGGTTTATGGAACTGAAACTTTCCTCCTGAGGCAGATGGGGAGAGGAAGTGGTTCACAGAATGACATTCGTTTTGCTTGTTTAAGAAACATCAGATAAGGAAGGTTTTGGCAGCTGACAAGAGAAGAGGTGGGGGGATACCCATTTGCTTTTTTATTTCCTATGTTGTCTCTACTCCTTTTTTTACTTTCCTGTTGGCATGTTGTTCTCCTCTCTCCATACTTCTGTCTTCTTTCCTTCATTATCTGCTGCATTTATTCGTTCCTGGTCTCTGCCCTCTTTCCTTTGTTTTGTTCTGCCTGTCTCCTGCTGTGGCCTTCTGTGGATTAGCACTGTGATGCTTGGGAGGCATTTGCCCAAACTGAGTCAGTGCGTGTCCAGGTGTGGTGGTGACATAGTTGATTTCTCGGATTCACTGCTTGCAACGTTTCTCTGTGGCTGACTGTCTCTGGCTTCCTAGGGGGCTGCCTCTTGGTCTTTATGGAGGGGTGAATAGAATTAGATGAGCAGATCTGATGCAGTGGCCACCAAGATATGGACTCTGAGCCAGCTGTTAATGTTTCTGGCTTCTCTGGGTGGCTTTTCCTTCAGGTGATCTGATTAAGTGCCAAAACAAGAAGTGGGACAAATACCCATTGCGAGGTGGCTTTTCTTTTTCTTTAGAATGAATAAGGGCAGAGTCTGAAAACAGGCGATTCTTGCCTTGAGGGACACATGCTCACTCCTGAAAATGAGATTATTGCACCCATGAATTTGTAGAAATGTCTCTGGATTATTTTTATGAATAAAAACTCTAATGGAGTCTTGCTTCTGAAATGGGAGAGAAGCTTACATAAATCATATTAGACCAATATTACATATATAATACCTGAAATGCTGAGCCTTGTAAGTAGGGCTGTCCTATATACTCTTACAAAAAACAGACACACATAAGAAAAAATACTATGGTAGCTTGCATTTCTCCTCTTCAAAAAAACGAGGTCAATAAAAATGTTGTTTGTAGATGTCTCCAAAGAAACCTCTACTGTTCCTCATATTTTACATGCATTTAAACTGCTAGCTTACTTTTGGATTTGATTAGGAAGTAGCTATTTCTTTTCTTCCTCTATAAATGTGTTTAAAGAAGACTTGCATGTCCTGGCATACCTTTTCTCTTCAGCTTTTATACACTTATTTGCACAGCAGTTACAGTTGGAAGGAAAGTGATTATAGTCTGGAGTGATCATTCTAGACTCATGACTACAGTATTGAAGTGCCTTTTAAACTGCTAATTGAAGCAAATATCCTTTCAGGGAAGAGAAGGGGAGTAATGTTTACAGAGGAAGCAGTAAACCCAATAAGCTGCTACCTGGTTCCAAGGGTGCAGAATCTCCCAACTCTTTTCTCGATCAGGAGAGTCGAAGGCGAAGGTTTACTATAGCTGATTCTGATCAGCTGCCTGGGTACCCCATGGAAGCAAATATACCACGGACAAAGATGAGGGAAAAAACACCATCCTATGGTGAGTTTGAGTTTATGCCTCTTTTGTTTGTTGTTATTGAGATCCTAAATGTTGGATGAGTGTGTTTTTTTTTGTTTTGTTGTTGTTTTTTTTTTTTTTTTGTGAACTGCTGGCTGAACTT